TTGGGCAAAAATGCTTGAAATGACCCAAATAATCATAACCGCGATGTGCCTTTGTTAATTTTTTTGGACCCATACTAATCGACCCGCCCTAGTGTGTATCTATGTACACTCAGCTGTTAACTTTTGTTTCAATGTATTTTATTTACATAATTCTGTGTCCTTTCTAAGTACTCGCATAGTACATATGTATGTATGTATGTATATTTGTGTGTATCTTTACATATGTATCTATTTAAATATTTTGAATGCACACATTTTGCAACAGTTTTTGTGCAAAACAAAACAAAAAAAAAACACTTCCCACACAAATCCAAATAAATGCAAATGCTGTCAGTGTGGCAGCAAGTCAGTTTGTTGAAAATCCAGTGAATAGCATTTTTATTGTTGAAACTGACTAGTTGACTGCCAGTATAGAGAAATAAGGACATTGTGGCTGTAAGTCTGCATAAAACGTGAATATATGGTGTGTGTGTGTGTGTGTGTGTCTGTGCAAATCTACTTAAGTGTGGCAGTGTGTCTCTGTCATTAAAATTTAATTGCAATTCCTTTTTTATAAGCATCAACCAGAACGAGTATACTCGAGTTGATACTCGTTTATGTATAGATACTATTTTGTTTTGTTCACGTTATTTAGAACTTAAGTTTATTTTAATGGTCACTAAAGCATTTATTTTAATTTTTACCTTCACTTTGGTGTAATAAATTTCAATGATTTTATCAAGCTGTTACTTTTGTGCTTTTAAATACGAAAAATAAGACTACTTAATTTACAGGTATTAAGTGAAAAATTTCAATAGTATTTAAGTACTTTAGCGGCTCCGGGAGGAGACAAATGTACGTGAGCTTACAAATAAAGGCCGTGGTATTTATTACTTATGTCTGTTATATTTAGGAAAAACTTGAAATGCATTTATTTTAATATATTTTTCAGCTCAAATTTGACCATTTGACTTGGTAAAACTTACTTCTTTTGACTCCTTTGCAAAAATCTTATCTAGTTTTTACTGCTTCTCAAATTTTTTTCATATTACCACAATCTGGCGAGGTATCGAAATGTGTCGATTGCTTTCGAAATATATGGAGCTAAAAAAATAACCGAGTTAACGAAATTTATAGAGACATCCGAAGTTTATCGAGTTATCGATTTATATCGAAATGTATAAATTTTTGACCTAACGAAATTTGTCGAGCCCTTGGAACGCACAGTTATTGAAATCAGTCGAGCTATCGACTTTTGTTGAGTTATCAGATTCTAGTGTTTTTGAAATTCATTGAAATAAAAGTCTTTGAAGACTTAGAAATATTTATCTCGCTGATAATAGTTATCGATGACTTAAAAAAATTTTCTCACACATAATTATTACCAAAAGGCTTTTATAATTCTTACGAAAATTTGGATGACGTTTTTCATACTCCACCATAAAATAATTATTATTCTGGATCTCTTCTTCATAGGTGTAAACAACTTAGGTTGCGTTTTCGTGCCAAAGTAGGAGATTTTCGGGTAACTAATTTTATACCTTATAAGTTATACGGACTGCTAAGTTAGAAAAACTCTTTCAGGGTCTTGCAGAACAAGAAAAACGGACGAATTTCGGCAGTAACTGCCACTCCTAGTCTGTCTTAAACTCTCACTTTATAAAGCTCTTTAAATCAATTTTATTTTTTATGTATGAGGCAATACGAATTTTTGTAGGGAGTAACGACACAAAAGGCCCAGCTACTAAACGGCCGATTGACATACAGAATGCTAGTTAGTCAAGAAGGCTCTGCTCATTGCCAACCATACTTACACATTTAGCTCGGCTAGTATTAATTCTGTGTGTTGCAGAAGCGAACATTATAGTCGTTACTATAAATAAATATGTATGTATTTATAGTGTAGTGAGCTTAGATTACTTTTTATTATAAGCACTCCTCCTGTTATCGAATTAAGATCAAATTTAATTTGTCGTTTCGAAACATTACTAGTCGAATTTAATTTTCTTGCAGCTTATGTAAAAGCAATAAAGTTCAAACTAAATAGAATAACCATAAAATATGATACCATCCCGATAAAAACTACAAAAAAAAGATAAAAATAAATAAATGCAATTAAACTAAGTACGAGTAATAACTTCCACTTTGACGCGGTAGCTTCAACTGCGTGTACAAATTAAATTAGCGCACAACGCGTTACGGCTGTAAAAATATCTTTATATATATATACAATTTTCTCGTAAATTAATGTTAACTTAAGCGCATTTGCACTTGAACATTGTCGTCCACTTATCTCGTTTTCACAATTCTTTTCACTCTTTGCAGTGCTGCGTTGCCTCCTGATAACGACCCTGACGGCGACGATTGCCTCCGTGACGGCAGCACCGTCTGTGCCACAAAATTCCATGCCATTGCTGTCACAACAAATGCTGCAGAAGCACTTTCACAACAACAACAACATCAACACCTTTCACAACAGTAGTAGTGGCAGCAGCAGCAGCGACATTAGTACTTTTACTTCTGCTTCGGCGCATAATTACAATCATCGCCACTCGCAACAGCTGTCGACGGCTACATTCACGCCCCTCACACCAGCCCCCCCAACAACGCCTGTACGAATGATGGACATTGTGGTATTGAATGGCAGCACGAGTAGCAGCGGTAATGATGGCATCCTTGACGGTGCCAACACAAACACCTTGAAAAGTCTTTCATCTATACGGGTGGCAGCTATGGCGGGTGTGCCAATGGGCGATGTGAATCAGCTGCCAATCTTTGACTTTGGATTGCCGCGTAATATAACGGCACGTACCGGTCAAGCGGAAGCCGCAATTAAATGTCGCGTGGAGCGATTGGATGATAAATCGGTGAGTGAATGATATTTAAGTGGGGTGGGTGGTGGACATTGTGGGGGTACGAGTGTTTAATAGGTGTGAACAATTTTACGTGGAAGTTTGAAAAGAAGACAAGCAAAAATCGGTGGTATGTGTAAGGAAGGAAGCATAAGAAGATGAAAGTGAAGCGTAAAAAAATGTAAAGGTACAAAAAAAGTTATGTGGCAATATCGGCTAATTAAAAATACTAGTGTTCGCCCAGCGGTTGAAATTCAACCGATAAAATTAAGGATAGTTTATGTAAGTTGAATGAGCTAAAATAACATTAGTTAGAATGGGTTAAGTGGAGGGGAGTTTAGCTTAGTACTTGGCATAACATAACATAANCTATGCTGCTGAGGAAACATTAGCAATGAATCATTCAAAAGCATGCTTATTTTCATGACCGGATGTTTAGCAAACTTTAAACTAGTCACATTTCGTTTCAGTACAAGCGCTCTTTCGTAAGATGCAATCAGTCGGCATTTCAGTCAGTGCGCCCTGCTCCGGTTTTCACATAAAACTCGGGCAAACGTTTACGCAGCATAATTTTTGTAGAGCACAGTCAACTCAAATACCTTTTTATACATACTTAGGCATGCTCGGGGCCCGGCATACTTCGCGACAGAACTATCGTGGCGGAGTAGGGTAGCGCATTAAGAACCGCACCTGCAGTTGAGAATTTTCATAGCTCGAATTGATATTAGGCTTACGGAAACCGGGTGGTTAACTGCCTCAAAAGCTGGACCCCCTGCAGTGCTGGAGACCCTGAATGGACGGACCATATACTGCTCCTCCGAAATGTTTCGCAGTAGTTTTTTTCGCCACATTACCTCAAGAGAGTACTGAGTTCGGGTCAGTAGTAGGAGAAGGGAGCTTTATCGTGGATTCATCCAAACTTAGAGGCAGGATTGGTGGCGATCTCTTTTGCCAGGACTCTCCATCAAAACTGTCTTTATGCTTCTGGACTTCTGCAGTGTCTTTCAGGAGGAAATGTCGGACTTCTCTATCAATGGCTTCGGAGTACTTCCTAATCAGGCTCATTTTGTCGCCCGACCACATTGTGACATTGTGGTAAATCGCGTGGCTGATGATCAGGATGATGACAAGCAAAGGCACCTTTGAATCGTCATATTGCGGTGTGGAGCAGCTGGAGACGCTTCTGTCCTCCTGCGGTTCACTCTTGAACGGTTGGGCCTCATGTAAGCTCAGCAAGCGTTGGGCTAATACTAGGACATTTGCAATTGCCAGATGGCTCTGGTCTGGGATGGACTAGTGGCTGTCAGTGGAGTTTTTTATGCATACAGCTGCCAAGAGGATGGTGAGATGGAACCATCACTTCAAACTGACCAGCCTTGCCTGAATAATAATGGTAACCATGAAGAGCTCTCGAGGACTCGGCCCTTGTCTGGGGCGACCACTATAACCTAACCTAACCTTCAAGTATCCCTTCTCCGTCTACATATTCCGATAATAGGTTTAATAATGGCAGATGACTGTTTAAAATTGTAAAGTAACTACTGGTAACTAGGGTACTCACAATGAGCGATAAGTCTCTGAGTGGAAGTGCATTGCCCTTCTAAACTTATTCGCCCACATTTTAAATAGAGAGCTTTTCTGAGCTGGGGTATTGGGCCGCCGCACAATGGGCCAGGACCGGAAAAAATTATTCTTGTGATGGTTTGCCTTCACCCACTTCGCTTTTTAAAACGTTGGCAACCCTCATGCCTACAATTAAGAAATGGGGCCATTGAAAATTTTTTATATTGATACTCATATTGTAATAGCTTATTAGACATCATATAACTTTTGAATAATTTAATTAAATTTGACTTTTCAAAGAGGTGGAAACACTTTTCAAAAAATACTTTTAAACTACAAGCGTCGTAAAACTTTTTCGTCTGACACCCATATTGTGATACATATTTCAATTACCTTATTTCTTTAATTCAAGTTGAATTTAATTTTTAAACAGTTGGCAAACCTCTTAAATGTCATTTAGAAATAACGTTTTTTTGAAACCATTTCGATTGATAGCCATATTGTAAAAGTTCATTTGAATTGAATTTAATATTTTATCAGCTGGCAACTCTCTTCAAACACTTATAAGATATTTTAAATGTTCAAACAAAGTATTCATTAAAACTTGTTTGTTTTAATATTTCATATAACTTGTGAATAATTTAATTAAAATCCACTTTTCAAATAGGTGGCAACACTCTTCACAATAATTTCAAACTACAATCTTCCTCAACCCCTTTTGTCTGGCACTCACTAAAATGGCAATGCGCTTAGCAAATACAAGTACATAAATATGTGAATTGTCAATAGCTAATGTTGTTAAATGAAAGAATTAAATCTGACCCTTTCGGCGTGTTGGAAAATATTTGTACGATAAATTCAGCTTAAATTTCAAAACAAAAGAATTTTAATTTCGAGACTAAGAAAAAGGTTTAACATAGCTCGAATAATAGCACTCTTATGTACTTACATATATTTAAGTATGTACTTTTCTACAACTCACGCCGTTATCAAAACTAAGTGGCAGCAATTTTCTTTCACCATCCGCTGTTTGTTTGTTTAGGACGCCCACAAAATAAAATGCCGCAAAAAAAAGGGTAACCGCTCCACTTGCGCTTAACTGGCCATTTGTGGTTTTTCAATTTTACTATCTCTGCCATCTCAAAAAAAAATAAAAATAAAACTAAAAACAAAAAACGAACAAGGGCATAAAAAATTAAAAAAAAAAATCCGAACGACACTTAACTGCAGTATGACCTACCTACCTACCTAGCAAGCTATCTGCTACACTTCAGCGGCCGTGGGCAAGTGGGCGCAAAGTGTTCGTATTTACGAATGACTGCCTGCTTGGTTGGTGTTGTGCATTTTAATGCCACATCAATGGTGGTGGTAGTTTTATTTAATTTCCTCTTAACCTTCGCAATCATTTCTCACTTTGATCGAGGCTCATTAATCAATTTCCGTTTGCCACTTCCGTTACGTTGTGGTTGCCACTTTGCTCGTTTAATTTTTTCCTTATTACCTTATACATACAAATTTATGTACATATATTTGCTTCTGCTTTTCAGCATAAAATATTTCTTTTCACGCTCCACATTTTTCTTCTGAACCGAAAATTCGTACTTTTACACTCAACATTTCATCGCATTACCTCTTTTGTCAATTTTTAACACTTTTTTCACCAAAAAAAAAAAAAACAAACAAACTTTTCTTTTTTCTTTCTTGGTGCCGTTCTTCATCCCTACCTTCGTGCCTGCTGGCATTGCCCATTTGGCCACTTTCGTTGGAATGCTGCTTTTGGGATCTTATTGCCTGCTTGCCCACCAATTGTCTGCGCCCTCTGATGTGATGGCCATCAACAGGTCTCGTGGATACGTAAACGTGATTTGCATATACTGACTGTGGCCACGGCGACGTATACGTCGGATAAACGTTTTCAGGTGAGCAACAACACACACACGCACACACACGCACACAATTTTGAAACTCCTTATCAAGTGCTTTTTGAACTCTGCAGGTAGTAAATTAATAATCGTACATTTGTATATACATATGTACATACATATGTACGTATGCATGTGTGGATATATTTCTGATCATTCGAATACATATATGTATTTACATATGTACATATGTGTGTATTTATTTAGTGAAAGTGTAAATAGTGAAGCATAAAAATTGGGAAATGAAAAATAAACATCAAAGGAAATGGCCTGCGGTTGCAGGTTCTTATTTAAGGAGATATGAATGTAAGTGCGTATGTATGTGCATTAGGGTGGTAAAAAAAAAATGAAAATGTTAAGCTCTCACCCCTACGATTTTTCTAAATGGAAAAAAGAAACAACCATTCTTTTTTTAATATTTGGAACCACCTCAAAGCCCATGAAGTTTTCCATGGCGACAAAACAACTTTTCGTAGAAATGGTAGAAATGGTATTGTAAATCAATATTTTTCGATCGGAAAGCTCTGTTTTTATTCTGGACACTTAGAATGATAATAATAGATTGTTGATTTTACTATTTTTAATACCAACGATATTTAGTGAGTCACCCCATTGCATTTTTGGTATTTTTTTGGGACTTGTAAAAATTAGTTTATATCAAAAAATGGTTAAATAAACAATTGGATATTGTTACTGGCAGTCGCATGAAGAGAAACAGAGTTTTCCGATCGAAAAATATTGAGTTTCAAGAATTCTATACGTTTTCTACGAATAAATGTTTTCCCATATAAAATAAGTGAAAACTTCACAGAAAACAGAGTACCCGTATTTTTTGTATTCTGTAAGAGCTAAACGTTTTAAACTTACCTCTCCCGGCCCTCCCCATGTTGTTTTGGCCCATCCTAATTGTTATACATACATACATTAGAATGCCTCACCAAAAAAAGTTGCGGTATTTCCACTGGAATTATAAAATTTATTATATTCTTAGACTGCCGCAAAAGTATTAAGATTGACGTGAGCTAGGCTCACGGAAAGTACCTCCAAAAATCTGATTATTTTGATTTCGGTTGTAAACTTTTTAAATATTTTATGCTGAACTTTTCAACTTAAGCCCTTCTATCTTTTGGGGATTTTTTCGAAATATTTTACTTTTTTTTATTTTTTTTATTTTACTTATCTTATTTATAATAGAGTATCAATTTTTATTTTATGGGGAGTGATGCACCCTAATGTACATACATACACAACTACGAATGGTAATCAAATGAAATGCGCACTATGCTTACCAGCTTTAAGTGAAATACGCTTTGCAAATTTTCCATTCTGATGGCTGAAGAATTTTTTATTCACTCACGAATATACCAAACGTCGCCTCATCGGATGTTTTCATTGTCGATGCCTCCGCGTCATACGCGTATACATACCAGCACCGGCCATCTAAGTGACTTATGGTGTGTATTTTTGTACGACGAGAGAGGCCGACACTGTCCAAAGAAGCACTCAAGGCGAATTTATGCAAGGTGGCAAGAATACAACAACACCAACCACATGTTGTGGCGTATTAATATTTATTTCAATAGTTTTATTATAGAAGTTGAGTGATCCCTTTTCTTCAGGAGCCCCTCCTAACCGAAATTCTCTGTCGGGAATGGAGATTCTATGCCTCTTTGTGAAGTTATGACTTGATGCACTGTAATCCGTCTCGTATATCTAAGTTCTTTAAGATTGGGGTGTGTCCATCGTGAGTGTCTCTCCAGCCTGGTAGCTGGAAAGATGATAGGCTAATAGGTATAAAATCTTTGGCGTTCATGTGGCATGTTTTTTCTGACTTGGGCTTGTAACAGGACAGGAGATACTTCGTTTTGTTGCCCAGGCCCAGGCGCTTTGCTGCTCTCCTTAAATTCACGAAGGCAGCAGAGAGAAAGCACAAATGTACGCTCTTTTAATAAAATTTAAGTGAGCGGTTTTAGTCTATGCCTCTTAATATCTTCTCCAACATCAGGTCGCCGTGATTGTTCTTGCAGGAGTTCGCTCTGGTCTTGAAACCTTCCATAAGTCCCCGAACTGACTGGTAAAATTTTCTGGCCTTTTTTCTTGTCGCAGAATGACGGCTCCCGTTGCAGAAGTCCACGCATGTGTTAAAATTTTTTGACCGTCATTCATCAGAGAGTGGCCAACACCTATTATTTTCCTTTTCGTTCACATAGCTCACTTCTTTCGGTGTTTACACCAAGTATCTTCTTGCTTGCAACCTTTTCGAAGCGAGCTAATTGTGAGAAATTAAAACCTAAACTAAAAATTAAATTAAAAAGTACTCCAGCCGTTCATCGTAGTGCACAGATTTGAAATTAAACGCTCCGTTGAAGAAATGTTATAATAATCCCAAGCCATGAATGGATCTTCTCCATACAGTGATTTTTCATTACGTAATTTTCTGAAATTATAAACCTTATGCTCTTAACTCCGAAGCTTATGTTACTTAGTTTTCAAGCTAGCACCAAGTTACAGCCACGATTATTTCATCATTCTTATGACACGAGTATTTACTTTTCCTCTCAGCAAGTAAAACATGCGGGTAAACAACACCTGAGGGAGGCTATTCTTACACATGCACTGGATTACATTTACAAGTACCGTATGTATTTACTTATGGGAATTGCAGCATAAATATGCACATACATACATAAGGTATACACATACATATGTCCATATACTTCCCACACAAATGTGATAGAAAGTGTACTTTTCCATTTCTATTATTACACCAACCGACCAAATTCAGCTATCGTACTAAGTATATATGTACTTAATGCTTTCACTGAAATTAAATTAATTGAATTGCTGCAATGGCGAGTATGCATAAATGTGTACATATGTACATATGTTTGTATGCATGTTTAACTATCTACAAACATACGTATGGGTCAATCGATATCAATCGACGAACTTCTGCCAAAGGAAAAGCTAATTTTTTTTTATTTTTTTAACTCCAAATTAAATATAAATTTAAATTAAATAAAAAATGTTTTACACAACTTTAATTTTTCAAAGTTCAAAAAAGCGTATTTTAAAAAACAAAATGTACTCAAATAAAAAAGAATGCAAAAAGTTTGATTAAGTGTTTGTTTTTACGATTTTTTTAATTTCAAAATTCTAAAACTTTTTTATCTTTCGAATTTTTTTTTTTAATATAGGTACTTTACTCTGTACTCTATAGCCACAAATATCACCTCTGAAACCTTGACCAGAACCATTTTTGTAATTACATATAAAAGGTTTTGAGATATTCAAAACATCTTTCGAAAAAAAACATTATTTTCTATTCATTTTTTTCAGTTTCAAAAACCTGTTATTTTTTATTGTTAAGCACGAACTTTATGTCAAATTTTATGTAATACTTTCGCCTGATTTAAAAAAAAAAACCTGAAATTTTTAAGGTAATTTTTAAGATAAGAATTTTTAAACTTAAAAAAAATATTGCAAACGCTAAATCAAAAATAAATTTAAATTAAATAAAAATATTTTAAATGCAATCCGGGAAATCGTGANTTCGCCTGATTTAAAAAAAAAAACCTGAAATTTTTAAGGTAATTTTTAAGATAAGAATTTTTAAACTTAAAAAAAATATTGCAAACGCTAAATCAAAAATAAATTTAAATTAAATAAAAATATTTTAAATGCAATCCGGGAAATCGTGAAATTTTTAACTTTTAAAATTCTGTAATCGTTTTATTTTTAAGCACAAACTTATATAAATTTGTGGCTGAATTTTATGTAATACTCTCGACGGATTTAAAAACTCCTGAAATTTGTAGGTATTTTTTTTAAGATATGAATTTTTAGACTTTGAAAAAAAAAATATTGCAAACTATGAATCAGAAATAAATTTAAATGAAATTAATTATTATTTAAAGTTAGCAAACAAAATTTTTCAAAATTCGCAAAATCATATATTAAAAACACTTATAACATTTCAGAATCTTTTAGGATGAGGTGGAGATCTTGTATAAAAAAAAAATAGTCAAAAATTTTGTTAGGTATTTGTTTGTACGATTTTTTAATTTAAAAATTCGAAGACATTTTTATTTATCGATTTTTTTTAATATATTTTTGCTGTAGCCCCAAATGTTATCTCTAAAACGAGACTAGGACCATTATTTTAACTATAATAGGTTTTGAGATATTCAAATATGAAATCCGAAACTCCGGGAAATTGTAAGATTTTGAACTTTCGAATAAATGTTTTTTTTTTTATTTTTTTACATATTTTCAATTTCAAACTTCTGTGAATTTTTTTACGTTTAAGCAAAAACTTACATAAATTTGTGACTCAATTTTGTGTAATGCTCTCGATTGATTTTAAAAAACCCTGAAATTTTTAAATTGTTTTTTTTATGATATGAATTTTTAAACTTTGAAAAAAAAATGTATTTAGAGTTATTTAGCAAGAAAAAAATTTCAAAATTCTAAAAATCATATCTTAAAAACGCCTTGAAAATTTCACAATCTTTTAAGGTCAGTTGGAGGTGTTGTATAAAAAAAAATTTGCCAAAAATTTTATTAGGTGTTCGATTTTACGTTTTTCTGAAATTCACAATTCTAAAAAGAATTTATTTTTCATCATGACTTCAATTATTACCAGAAATCGTACACTTTTCGCTTATGTGTATTATACTACGAAAAAATTTTTGGGTGCATTTGTTTGCAGGGAATCTCTGCGTATTTTTTTCTATAGGTCCAAGTACCACTTCTAAAGAATTTTTTAAGATATTCAAAAAACAAACTAGCAAAATCCGGGAAATTGCGAAGTTTCTTTATTATTTGTTATTAGATTTTTTTAATTTCGAAATTCTGTACACTTTTTTATTTTTGTATTTTTTACATATTTTTTCTTTATAAATATTACCATTTTTGATAACTACAATAGTTTTTTAGCACCTCAAAATAAACTTTCAAATTCCCAGAAATTGTGAAGTTTAGAATTTTGCAGTAACTTTCAAAAAAATTTGTTTTTTTTTTTCATTCGGCAGATCCTTGCTACACGCTAAAAGTTCTGACCGTAATTAAACCA